ACTGGTTAGGAGGAGGGTCGTGTGAAGGAAGGTTGGCAAACATGTGTTGACCCTTTCAGAAAGAGCCCAGACATGGATTAAACCCATGTCATTGTGTTGGTCTGGATGGAGTATAACTGACACTAAATATGGTGTGACCATTGACATACAATGCCTAGCTGATGTAAGAGGTCACAGGAAAATAATGAATCAAGTCCATGTAGTCTGGGGCCGTTTAATGGCCATTTTGGCAAGGAACCGGAACGAGGGCGAGAGAGACAGGATCCGGAATTTGATGGATGCGCCTTTCCGTCAAAATAAAAGCACCAAGCTAATTAAAATGCGGTGAAACTTTTTAATTTAAAGAATATAATTTACAAGAAAAGCCCCAAACCATTAATTTAACCTTTTTCTTTTATTGTAATTCAATGGTGCACCAGAATTTTAAGTTTTACTTTGGTGAACACTTTTACTTTGGTGAATTTGGTGAATTCCGGATCCGCTCTCTAGACCGGAACCAGAATCCAGACAAAATTCAGAGTGAATGGAAACCAGGCTCTTCCTCGTACGTGAAGAGCCTGGTGATGCAAGGTTAAGTCCATGTCTCACCACATCTCACAACTCGCTGGCCAAGACTGTGGCCAAGAAGAAGAAAATTAAGCTACTTTAGGCAGACAGCAAGCAGCACTGACCAACGCTACATCCAACAAATACGAGTATTAAAGCTTTATAGGTGTAATAGTATGGAAAACAATACACACATGCATAATAATGTAGTATCAATTTGAAAATCCATGTACACATCCAGCCATTGTGCTATACATATAGCTCCTAGCAAGTTTTTTTTTGTCATTAACACACAGGTCCGAAAGATACACACATGCATGACCTATACATGCACAAAGTGGAGAGATGTCAGAGTAAGGGGGCTGCCTTGGTCAGGCGCCCCGAGCGGTTTTGTCCACGATAGTAACCAAGCTAGGTAATGATAAGAGAGAGCTGCTGAAATTATGGTTTGTCCATTTCGAGTAGCCTATCGGTACATTCAAGGCGTACAGTAGAGACAAACATGACACCACGAGTGCCGATGAATTGAATTTAAAGTAACAGTTAAGATTTGTTAAGTTAAAGTAGGAGGTCTGAGATAGGACATGACGCAGCCATGATTTAAAGAATTGCTTTTGTGATAAGAAGACAGGATTTTTAATATCTTTGAAACTTATGTTAAGAAAGCATGCATAATAATGTAGTATCAATTTGAAGATCCATGTACATATCCAGCCATTGTGCTATAAAATTAGCTCCTGTCAAGTTTTTTGTTTAAATGTAACACACATTACATCATAAGGTTTTTTTTAAGCTATATGATTGTCATTGTTGTTTCATCTTTGGCGGTTTTTAAAGGTAAAGCTAATACGAGTTATCAGTGAAACAGTACCTGTGATGAGCTGCGATAGGTGTCGAACTGGTTCTGTCCTTGAGCAAACTGGCAGTCAGACTGTCATCAGCGTAGCCACCCAGCTCTCCTGTCACCCAGTCAGGCAGACCTGCATTGCTGTGCTCCACAGATCGACCAGTCAGTGGCTCGTCAAAGTAGATTGACTAGAAATGAAAATTCAAAGATGGGAGGTGAAGTTTGGGTTAAGTCTCTGAGTAATTGAAATCCACAGCAATTATATTTAATGAATTGCAACTGCACTAGATTAAATTTTTTTGTAACTGACTTCGGGTATTATGTTTTTTAAAAAAAAGTCTATATGGTTAACTTTGAGAGCATTTTTGAAGTTCATGTTAGTACAAATGAAGGTGCAAAGTTATGTCACTGCTAGATGGCAATACAGCAATATTTATGGTTCCATGAAGCAGCCATTCTTACCATGTAGGTAGGGAGTGTCTTGAGACTGCCAGGCTCTGGTTTGCTGTTGAAAGGCCTCTCTAGAACCCCTCTTTTCAGCATGTGAAGGAGCAAACGAGCGTGCATGTTGCGGTTCTTACGACCTGTCAGACCTGATCCACATGTGGCCGGGTCACACAGCTTCTTTATCCATATGGCACATCGCTGGCGCTCTGAGGTCAGTGGAAGAAAGAGGGACAGGACAACAAAAGTAATTAAAAATATGAATGTATTATCTAATCAGTTACTTTGTGGTAGTTGTCCAGCAGGGTTGGATATTAACTTTTTTGTCCATCTGCCACAGTGGCTAGTGGATCTGGAAATTTACCAGCCACTCAATAGATTACCATTGTTTTTTGGCTGGTCAGTGAAGCCAATCTAGCAGCACCTTACACTTTTTTTAACCAGCACTTGGCTGGTGGCTGTTGCTTATTTCCAACCCTGCTGTCTATTGATATTAATCTGCTACATCAGCGATGTTCAGACCATGTTTAGTGGGGTGACGAGAGGTGAAATATACTCTCACCTGTCTTGTTGGGATGTTTCAGGACATACGGCTTCATGTCCAGCAGGAAATGGTCAAACTCAGTGTCCAGCCTGTCCCATGAGTCCTCGCGTTTGCTCATGGTGTCTTGAGGAGGTAAATAAATGGATACAACGGTTAATAAGCAGTCAGTTTTTGGCTAGCGTCAACTGTGTTAGCTAGCTACACGGTATCTCAGATTAAAAACAGAGTGGCAATATAGCTAGCTAGAAGAAACGGGCACGGTAACATCGTGTCACCTATTGTAAACATAACACAACATGACAACCACCTTGCTAACAGCTACAGTGTTTACAAACTAGCTAACCTGAGTACTTGCGGGAGGCATTAGCAAATAAGCTAAAGCAGACCCGAAAAGCGCTCGTGCGGTGTTACTTTATTTACTCACTTCCGGAAACAGACAAACGACACGCTAAAGGGGGGCACTGTTCATGAAAATGTAAAATAAGGACTACAAAGCTACCCACTTTGAACACTTATTCCACCGCTAAAAACGGTTCAAAACTTCAGCGTCCTCTTTTTACGCCACATCCGGTTTCCGTAGATAGGCAGCGTCTCGACGTTGCCATAGAAACTACTTCTTCTTCGTTCTCCCAGTTTTGAACGGCGGTGGGCATCCACAAATTACCGCCACCTACTGGATTTACCATAAAGTCTCAGAGATATATATATATATATATATAAATATATAAAAAACACCAAAGAAAGAAATTGTTAATTTATTTTAACTATTTTAATAGTTGAAACATAGTTAGAGAATATCTGATTTATAATAGTAGATTTACAGTTACAGAATAAGCATATCATATTGTTATATATGTTATTGACTGTTTTACAAAGAAAAAATAAACATGATGGAGATGGGTTTGCCTTATAGTATAAGGGCATATAGCAAATGGCCCATTTTTTTTAAATTTAATGACACTCTCTTTAAACACAGGCATATTTTCAAGGTGGCAATCACTCATAAGGGCCCATTGTTTCCATTGGCCCCCCACCTCACAGGCCCCAGTGCAACCCCCCTGCTTTATACCCTGTGACATCACAAGTAACTCCCCCTTTTAAGTAGGATTCAAAAACAGCAATCAAATTCTGCAAACACCTTAAAATAAGTGACCCCAACTCCTGCCATTACAAGGCTCTCCTTGCCAAGAGGAGATCATAGAGAGGAGTCCTGTCAGTCAGCTGGTCCAGAGGCTCCTCTAACAGCACAAGGCCTCAGAACAACCCTCACACAATTCAGCCCAACCAAATTAAAGCAAAAGAAAACTACATGAGCTACTGGACATCTACCACAAAAACCCAAAACAAACTCCAATGCTATGTGGCTCTAAACAGACAGTACGCAATGGCATCTGTCCGCTGTAACCACTCAGAAACTGAGAGTCAGCGATCACAGCCTGGCTGTACAGACTGGCAGACACAGGCAGACCAGGCTGCCTGGAGAAGACAGGCTGTGTCAGCTCTGTCCTCAGAGACAGGTGGAGACAGTGCAACATTTCCTGCTACAATATAGCACATACAAACACATCAGAGTAAAGGGTTGGTTTTTTTTTTACAAAAATTAAATGTAAACCCACTCTGTGACCAGACTAAAATGCAACATCTGCTTGGAGAAAACAGCGTCAAAGTCATAGATGCAGCAAGATATGTCAGTGCATGTCACAGCCTCAGAGACAACCAACACAACAACTTATAGTTCATCTCATCACAGATCACACTCTGCCTTTTCATCTACTCCTTCACTTCATATTTTTTCTCCTTTGTAATAAAACATTGTTGTTGTTTTTGGCAGATGTCTTTATTGAATTTTCCGTAAAAAGGGAAAAAATACAAGAAGGGAGCAGAGGTAGGCCGGAAGTTTGCCCAATATTGCCTTATAGATAAAAATATACCAATGCTGTTGTCTGCGAGTGGTCAGTGCCGTAAGGAATGTCATGCCAATAAAGCTTAATGAATTGAAAAATTGAATTGAGTAGCTCATTTTTAGAAATATTATACTTTTATGGCAATGGAAATAACATTGGAATTCTTAATTTAGGTGGTTTTCCCCTTTAAATGTAGACAAAAAGGTGGAATATTTGAGATAGTTGCCTGTGTTGTCTTTCTATCTTAGTCAAAACCTGCAATTCAGCACAGGTCCACACGATGGCGCCAAACACCTTCAGTTGGTGGGATGGTCAACGGCTGTAGGGGCATATCGCCTGGGTTCATCCCTCATTAAAACTCAAAATATTAATACTTTTTACACACAATACCTAATAGTCTGATCTAGTACACAGAACATTAGTGAACGTGCATGTCGGGTTTAGGTACCCCAGATCCACTTCTTATAAACTCCAAACTGTGCGCTGACACTGAAATGAAATATTCCCACGGCACGTGAAGGCAGACTTGAGCGACGTCACTTTGAATGAAAAAGAAGCGCTCAGCTGTGGAGCAGGCAGAGGGGAGGCGTGCGGTGTGTCAGGAGCTTCTCTAGCAGAGACTGCACCTTTGACGAAGAAGAGGACCTCACAAAAAAATCGGTCGGGACAACACCAAGTTGTGGCTGTGTAGTTTGTTTTATTTTAACCCCCCGTTATGGCTGACCATCTTTTACATTATAATGACTCAGCTGGGGTTGGGAACCGTTTCGCCCGCAAAGGTGCTTTGCGGCAGAAAAATGTGCATGAAGTGAAAAACCACAAATTTACTGCGAGGTTTTTCAAGCAGCCGACGTTCTGCAGCCATTGCACAGATTTCATATGGTAAGCATCCCGTCTGTAAACTGCCTCTCAGTTTGGATAGATTGTAGTGGGAATGTTAAGTGCAACTATAGTCTTTGTGGCTCTTAAGTTTGATATTTTAGCTTTATGTGACAGTTGCAGAGACTTAAAAATTTCATTTCTTTGTGCACTTGGATTTGGCTGAATGTTTGAGACAGATATCAGCTCATTTTATAGATGTGGAACACAATACATCAGCCCTAATTGCATCTTCTCTTGCAGGGGATTTGGGAAACAAGGATTTCAATGCCAAGGTAATCCACTTGCATGTGTGTTTTTACAGGTGTAAAGATCCTAGTGTAGCCTGTCAATCACCATTTGTCTGACCCAAGGGACACAGCTCAACACATATCCTGCAAAGATTAACAGTCTGAGCTTCACACTCAAAGCAGAACAGTAGAGCACTCTTGCGCTTTATGAGCAGTTTGTCATCTTGTTCAAACATCCAATTTAAGTCTTTAGTCTGGCTTAACCTCAATTTAAACATCTGCAAGCATGTGAATCCATAAGCATATTGTAGGAGGTTGCAGATCTAGTCACAGGAAAGACCCTTAAACAAATTGAATTTTAAAAAAAAGTTTTATTTCTTCAAAGGGCACATCATTCTGCAAGCAAGAAAGCAGAGGTTAATATTTGCTGGACGTTACTTGAAACATTAAAACAATGGAAACAATTTACCTGCAGCTTGGACACAGGGATATCCATGGTGGTTACCATTTGGTGCTGCAAGATAAACCTTATTAGGCATCATGTCAAACAAGCATTGAGAATTTTGAGAGAAGTTGGCATACCTTTGAGGGTTCTTTACACCTTTGGGAGCAGCTGGTTGACCCTTGACGCCCTGTGAGCGCACAGGCATTGGAGAGGGAAATTCTGGGGAGTACTTTGAGTGGCTCAAGAGATGCATGGCTCGCTGGTAGCCGTTTCTGGACTGGATGATATAGCTTGGAGGAGGCGGGGGAGGAGGGATTGGTTCACTCACTCGCTGGGGAACCACAGCTTTTGGGGCGTTGAATGCCTTTTGCCTAAGCTGAGAAATCCTATCACGTAGCCGGAAGCCTGTTTTACCGAACCCGAAGTGTAGACCAGATGGAAAGACTGGCTTGGTGCCTACATTAGTTGGGTAACGGGGGAATGAGGGTTCCCCTTGTGTGGAGGCAGATCCCCCGCTCATGTAATTAGCTTGGCTATACCCTCCTGCAGTGCTGGAAGAAGGCCCAGTGTTCTCAGATGGATATTGAAAGACTTCTTCGTAGACAAGATGAGGGTGACTGGAGCCAGAGGTGAAGTCCTGGTTTGGATTTTCATACACATCATAACCAGTGCTAACTGGCCTAGGCTTCCAAGAATCAAAACCGGGAGACTGTGCAGCCTGAGAGGGGGAGGACAGGGCAGGCGAAGTGGAGCCACCAGCTGGAGAGGCAGGCATGCGGTTTGCAGAGGCAACACTAAGTGACATTGATTGAGGTTGGGCAGGGCCTGGCTGGGGGATTGCTGGATGAGGTTGGACAGGGCCTGGCTGGGGGATTGCTGGATGAGGTTGGACAGGGCCTGGCTGGGGCTTTGCTGGATCACTCGGCTGGTAGTTTGGGCTTAACGGAAACACAAGTGGTTTTTCAGGGTTTTCCATGCCCCAGTCTCTTGTGCCACCATTAGTAAGCCTCTCCACCTCAGGAGCACTGGGTCTGTTGGGCAGGTTTTGCTGAGCTGAGGCTGAACCTGGCCATTGTGCATCTGAAGGTTTGCTGAAGCTTGTGTGCACGGGGAAAGACGGTTGGTTATTTGAAGGCTGCCAGTTCCTCAGATCAGAGGTCAATGCTTCATCTTTTGAATCATCACCGATGTTATGAGGGTCATTCTTGTATGGATATCCATACCCTGTGAAATTAAGATGAAACAAAGCATATTTTCTGAGGCCTAATGTAGTAATTAAAAATAAAGCCATTACCTTTTAAAGTTGGTAATCCAGTGCTCCCATCAAACAGCAAAAAACACATCCAGGAAATCCTGCACGAGAGGCCAATAAAGAACAAACATCGGATTAAGCTCTGTTAAAGGGAATTGAAACAAAGTGCAAAGAAATGCTCGACATCAATAAAACATACCTCAAAAGGAGTCCAAGAGCCATGGCTGTGAACTGAAAAGCAGCACCCTGTACTTCTCAGTAGCTATGGTTTGAGACAAGCAGCTCACTGGGACTAACAAGACTTGACAGTAACCTCTGGCCTTCTGTGTCTCCTATATATCCAGTTCTTTCTTGACAAAGCCCATCAGCAACAGCTGCTGACGGAGTAATTAGTGGCCAGATCGTTAACAGGTGTGGCAGCTGGGCAACACCACCCCCTGTCAGTGTGACAATCATCCTTGTAAAATCAGTGTGTGAGACACTGAAATGTTTTCTGATTTTTGCTCATTTAAAGAGCACTGAATATCTTTTTTTTTTTTTAATTTGACCTATTTTGCGCATCTTAACAGTCAAAAGGTTGTAGCAGATTTTCATTTAATGCCCCTGCGTTGGACTCAAGGTGCCACACATGCCCTGAAATCAACACCCTGTTGCCACCATCTTTGCTAGTGTAACATTTCCCTCTAGACATCTGATACTGTGGCAGCCAAAGGGGAGAAAGGCAAAGGAAAGGCTGAGGAGTGGGGGAGACAAAGAAGAAAGCAGAGTTATAATGGGGGTTACTGAGGTCAAATTAAGATTAAATCACCAATAAGATGCTCATACACAAACTAATAACAAAGTATGTAATGTAAAATAAATGATAAAAATATTGGATGGAGACTATTAAGCTGTGGAAGTGGTATGTATTATGTATAATGCCTATTTAAAGTTACATTCTGACTATTCTCCTTTATTTACATAAAGCACATCAACGCAGCAGCTACTGTATTTCCACACGCTTTGTATGTGACAAGATTACAGCGATTGAGCTTAAAGTATAACCTACCATACACTGTAAAAGGCATGATGATCAGTGTCAGGAGGGCCCAGACTGTAGAGCTGCTGTGCATTTAGAAGGTGGTAACCTCAGGTTTATACTGAGTAATGGAATGGGAAAATTATGTATTTTCTGATCAATGCTGGTACTGAATGCAAAAGGACAACAGACCCATCAAGCATCCATCTCACTCCCACTAACCGGTCTTTGCACTGTACTGTTGTTCTCATGCCAATAGTGTCATTCTGCAGGGTCGTGTAACAGAGTGATGCTGCAGTGAGAAGATCTGTGGCTTTAATTAACTCTCTGCTGAAACAGTGTCTATCTATCTACAGGGATGCACCGATCCCACTGTTTCAGTCCCAATACCTGTGCTTTGGTTATTGTCTGATAGCGAGTACCAGTCTGATACCAGTGTTTGATGAAGTAATAAGCTTTATGCCTCACAGTGTGGGAGTCACTGGTATCACTCTTTAATGTGTAAGGCAACATCAAGCTTGACTTAAACATTGCTTTCCCAACTTTGTAAAACAAAATGTAACAAATTGGCCTAAATACACAGATATCAATTTACTGAATTGTTATGCATTATTAAATTAATAAATCATGTTCCAGCATCTTGGCTTGGCTGTGCTGATATTGCAAGCACAACGTGACTTTGCCAAGTGGATCAACATCCCACATTGCGTTCCTGGACCAACATTGCAATCATCCAGTCACAGCCATAGATATACATATACGTAGATGCTGCATTCAACGGTGCTCCTCATTGGAGCGATACATCAACGCGGCCGCCATCTTGCCCAGGTGGAGCCGCGCTGCCTAATGCATGTATGTCTATTGAGGCAGGAGATTATTTATGATTAAAATCATCATTACTCGCTGAATTTTCAACCGATTTTCATGCGGTTTGGTTTGTTACAATTGTCAGACATGTAGTTATGATACAGGATACTTGGTTAAATAAAAAATGCAGTTCATACCAAAAAATTTGATCTTACGTAGATAAAGTAACAGTAATATTTCTACAACACAGTTAAACTAAACTTTCCCCATGTAATAAATATTCTTTTTTCTTACTAGATGTACAATGCCCACCATGATGTCATTAAATTATTAATTTTGACTATAAATGTTTATTCACATTTCACACAATGTGCAAAAAATAGTGTATCAGCAGGGTTGTGCCGAGCTGCAGTGTAGATTCTGATTAACAAATGTTGGTTTTGTACAAGTGAAAATAAATGACTTAGAGCTGCATGTTTACACAAAATTTTGCTTTAATCTCATATGTATAACACCACAGTGCTCATGGGAGCCTGGACACAGAACTGTTTACATTATTAGGTCATATTTACAAAAAATACAGTGTACAGTAGCTAGTATTATTTTTAGGAGTCTGCCCAGTCCTGTCGAAGTCCTCAGGTCTGAAATGACAGCTGCAGATGACTGAGGAGTCACTCGGGACCAAGTCCTTTCTCCTCACTGCTGCTACCCATGCCCGTCTCCTGTCTGTGTTTTTTGGGAAACTACACACAAAATAAGTGTGTCAGAAAAACGCAGTTCCACATAATTAGTAGTTACATTTCAGGCCACAAGTTAACTACTAACGTTATGCTGCGTTATGTCACATTGGTGCCATGAAACAGATAGTTGACAATTTGGAATAACACATACACCGACATAGCTGTTTGACAAAGCATCATAATTTTATAAGTAATATTATATAATGTTAAATGTTAACCTTTTTTCTTTAAGTTGTGTGACATAGCGTTGGCGTTAGGCATTAGGACCAGATCAGGACAGTTACTTTACTTGATTAGCTTAAAAGAAGGATCACTTTTTGAGATATATATCTCATTAAACATGTTCGTAACAGTAAAATATTGTAAAACAACTTCTTACCTGTGGAATGTTATTCCCTTCTGCTTGGTTTTAACACTTCTTTCGTTCGTACATCCAAATGCAGAGCAAAAATGTGGCATTTTTGCCGAGTCTGACATGGGTCTGAACCAGTCAGAGCACCTAGGCAAGATGGCGGCGGTATTGACGCATCCCACAAGCCAGGGTGCGGCATCTATGTATAAATATCTATGGTCACAGCTCTCTGACATCATCAGTGTGCAGCCCCTGTGCTTCTTTAAAAATTACATTGTGCTACTTGAGTGCTAAGCTTCGAAAATTAAGTTTGAAAAACTGAAAAAAGTCTTAGTAACACTAAACAAAAACCTTATAAGCTACTGCAGGGTTAGCAAGTTAGCTTGCTAACTAGGAAGGCTATTGAGTAATAATAATAATAATAAACTTTATTTATATAGCACCTTTCAAGAGCATAAAAGTCACAAAGTGCTTTAGAGAGGCAATAAAGCAAAAAATATACATACAGACATAAAACACAGTAAAGGGAGAAAATAGACAGAACATAAAAAAAAAATCAAACAAAGGCAAGTCTAAAGAAATGGGTCTTAAGCTGCTTTTTGAAGGTGTCCACAGTGTCCACAGATCTTAAATTCAGTGGGAGAGAGTTCCAAAATTTAGGTGCCACAACCTTAAAAGCGCAGTCTCCTTTGGTTTGGAGTAAGCTTGCCAATGGACTAGAATATTAGTGAGTTAGCTTTCTAAGTAGGTAGGCTATGCTAACAAGTAAGCTTGCTAATAGGCTAGAATATTAGCAAGTTAGCTTGCTAACTAGGAAGGTTATGCTAATGAGTAAGCTTGCCAATAGGCCAAAGAAGGGAAACTATGCTAACAAGTAAGCTTGCCAATAGGCTAGACTATTGTTCAGTTACAAAAAGTGTGGATAATATCGTTTTTCAGTTGCAAATACCTGTGATTGACATATTTCCCTCCTTTTTTATAACCTATTAAAATCATACTCGTTAGCATATCCTACCTAGTTAGTAAGCTAACTTGATAATATTCTCATCTATTGGCAAGTTTACTCGTTAGCATATCCTACCTACTTCACAAGCTAGCTCACTAATATTCTTGTCTATTGTCAAGTTTACTCATTAGCATAGCCAACCAAGTTAGCAAGCTAACTTGCTGATATTCTAGGGTACTGTCAAGTTTGCTTGTTAGCATAGCCTACCTAGTTAGCAAGCTAACTTGCTAATATTCTTGTCTATTGTCAAGTTTACTCATTAGCATAGCCAACCGAGTTAGCAAGCTAATTTGCTAATATACAGGCCTATTGGCAAGCTTTCTTGTTAGCATAGCCAACCCACTTAGCAAGCTAACATGCTAACCCTGCAGTAGCTTATAAGGTTTTTGTTCTGTGTTGCTGTGGATTTTGCTTAACTGTACTAACGTTAGCTTTAATTTGGAAAATTAGCTTAACTCTGAAAAGCACAGGAGCAGCACACTGATGATGTCCGAGGGCTGTGATTGGTTGACTACAACGTTGGTCCCGGAATGCAATGTGGGATGTTGATCCAGGAGCATGTCCTACTTGGCAAAATCACATCGTGCAATATGCACGATATTGCAAGTAGCTTTAAAACTAGTTAGTGCAGCAAGCAAGAAATACCTTCAAACAACTGACATGTTTGTTGTTAGCTTCCTTAGCGGACACATGATGTTGTGCTGCACTTGTAATCAGATGGAAAAATAGAACTGAATTGAAAGACTGGCCCTATAGTGACATATACCCAATTAAGATGTTTGAGTCAGTATCAGCAGTATCAGACCAGTGATACCTGTCAAGCTATGGCCTACATCCATATGGACACGTACATCTTTTACATGGGAATATGACTGGATGTACAATATGTTGTGCATTATCTGCGTCTTCTCACGTATGTATAAAAGTGGTTACAATGCCTGGGGATTATAGGGGTTAATGTTCTTTTTTTCCCCTACATGATAGCTCTCATTCATCTCAGGGCTGAACTGTCTGACAGGGGAGCTTGACAAAGAATGCATTATGGAAGTGGGCTGACAGATGCATATTCTGGGATGTAGACAAGATGATTGCTCTTGTAGGTTGTGCTTAAAGAATGCATTGCTCTTTGAGAGCCATATAATGGGGTAATCCCCGGAGGCCAATACAGATTTCTCTTTACTTTATGGGATAGATGTATAATGGCTTTTGTAATGTTTGATAACCCTATGGAGACATGGGATTGTTAAAGGGACAGTTCGAGTTTTTCCTCTTACCTGTAGTGCTTTTTATCAATCTAGATTGTTTTGGTGAGAGTTGCAAAGTGGTGGCGATATCAGCAGTAGAGATGTCTGCCCACTCTCAAATATAATGGAACTAGATAGCACTCAGCTTGTGGTGCTTAAAGCATTAAAAAAAAAAACATTTGAAAAACTCAA